TTCTTTATCTGAGACTTTGTTCCATGTCCTGCTGACCTCAGAAACCTGGTGGCTAATATGCAAGAGCATACATTTTGAGTGACCAGTTTGGTCTCCCCTTTTTCACTTTTTGATGTTCTGGTAGGACTATGTTTCCCAAACCCTAAGCTTAATTTGAAATGAAAGTTACTGATCCAATCTACCTATCTCATATAACAAAACCCAAATTTATCAAATGTAGCATAAAATTGAGATAAAGCAACATACATTAAGTAATTAAATATGTATAGCTAAAATTCAGTTCCTGATTTCATTTACAGTACACCCACTTAGGAGCATTTACAGAGATGTTGACTTACTAAAATCTGATTGGTTTATTGGAGTGACTGTAGTTAGGACTTTTATAAGAACATAAGAGCTCTGGTGCATCAGGCCAAGGGCTGATCTAGTCCAGCTTCCTATATCTCCACCAGATGCCTCTGGGAGCACACAAGACAACCAGATACCTGTCTCCTGATATCCCTCCCCTGCATCTGGCATTTGGCGGTCCCTTCCTTCTAAGCCTGGAGATTATACATCCCCATCATGGCTTGTAACCTGAGATGGAGTTTTCCTCCATTCATCTGTCCAGTCCCCTTAGGAGTCCCGCAGACTAACAACATGCTGGATAAAAAAAAATATTTTATTTTGTCTGTTCTCACTCTCCCAACACTCAATTGGAGTGGATGTCCCCTGGTTCTGGTATTGTGTGAGGGGGAAAAGAGGTTCCCTCTATCCACTTTATCCATCCCCTGCATAATTTTATATGTCTCAATCATGTCTCCCCTCAGGCGCCTTTTCTGTAGACTGTAGCCTTTGGGGAGGCGCCCCAGCCCAGTAATCATTTTAGTCGCTCTCTTCTGCACCTTTTTTCAGTTCCACTATGTCTTTTTTGAGGTGCGGCGACCAGAACTGTACGCAGTACTCCAGGTGCGGCCTTACCAGCGTTATGTATCCTGACCCTTGCTTCTCAATGCTTGCTGTGTATGACTTTTGGATTGCTTTGCTGCCCTTCTGGACTCCCTGTTTGGTCGCATGGATCTTGGACTGGCTTGACCTGCAGTTTGGCTTTGGATCTCTTACACCTGGTTTGCCTTACACCCTAGTAAGCCTGTTTGTTGACCATGGGACTAACCCCACCTTGGGAGCAGGACAAGTGGCCAGAATCCTATTGGTGCTTGTATAAAGTTTAAGTAACATGCAGCATACCTGAGGGGACGTCATCTTCCTTCATTAACCTGTCTGTTTTTTAAGACTGTCTTTGAAGACCCAAGTGGCATCTGAGGTGAGACAAGCCAGGTGGTGTCTGGGGAACAGACCCATTTTGGTCACGGGACACGAAATTTCTCCTGTTAGGTTCATTCACCCTAGAGTCTTGTCTGGCACTTCAAACTGATGACTTTTTGGTGGCCCATGGAAATCATTTTCTTTCTCAAGCTTTTAAAGGTTTGTCAGTTTTGGTTTTTTTAAAGCCACAATTCTTGTTTGCTGTTTCTATTGCTGCTGCTGCTGTTATAAATGACATTGGTAATGTTTACTGAAGGAAGATGAAAAAATTTAGAGGATAATTTAAAAACATATCATAAAAAAGGATATCCTTTGTCAGAATTCAGAAGACAATTCAGAATTCAGGACTTTGCACCTCGCTTAATAAAAAACAATAATGCAGTGCAGGGCAGCATCCAGAACAAGCAAAGTTTTAACATTTACTGGTGTCTTTCCTGATTCCTTGTGAACAACTCCCAGGCCAGCATGGGCAGTGGTAGAAACATATGGGCCCTACTCTTTAGACATCTGGAGGGTTTCAGTTTGGAAAATGGTGGTTTATGCTGTGGTAATGCTGAAAGAAATCCAACAGTAAAAGATCTGGTGTCCTGAAATGGGCTCTCCTGTACCATGGATTCACTAGGTAGACAAGAGCAAGTGGTTGCTGCTGTAGCTTGCTCTGCCCTCCATCTGTATAGAAGACCGGCCTCCATTACAGGGTTGTTGTGAGGACATGCACAAAAGAAACAACAGTGTTATATAAATGTGTGATATAAATGTGCAATAGTAATAGCAGTCGATCTGCGTTGCTGCGTACCAACTGGAAACTATTCACTACTGGAACTTGTATGGAACTTTTTGATATGCAAATGAAAGGAAAACCAAGGGATTTGTGTTTTTTATTTCTGCTGTTCCATGGCCAAATGGAGGCATGAGTATGAATTCTCACCATTCCAGCGTAAGCAAATTATAATGTACTGTTGACTTCAGATTAAAGTTAGATGGAAAGGAAAACCAAGGGATTTGTGTTTTTTTTTTATTTCTGTTGTTCCATGGCCAAATGGAGGCACGAGTATGAATACTCACCATTCCAACGTAAGCAATTTATAATGTACTGTTGACTTCTGATTGAAGTTAGATACTATTGAATTGCTTAAGATTTGATCCTCTCTGAAGCGTGTGTGTCAGAATTACAGTATAGTCTTAGGGTCTGAAAAGCTACTGCCTTCAGTGTTGCTGATAAATTACTGCTTCTTAAAGTCCAGGGGTAGACTGGAACTCCTTACAGATCCCTTGTCTTAAATCCAGTATTTGTGAGGTTAAACATGTTAAATTTTTTTTAAAGGTGATTAAAAATGGGGAAAGGGAAATCAAAAGCATTCTTATTGTATTAAAAAAGGCACTGAGAGAGCATTGGAGGAAGAAACTGACAGCTTGAAGACCAGGTTCTGTCCTGGACACTCTAGCTGCTGAGAGTCTCTTTGCATGAGGTCCCTGGGCTGTGGCAGTGGTCCCTGCATTTTGTTTAGCTACAGTATGAAGTGACTTAGGTCATTGTGGTACATATATTGCCTGGGTTTTGCATTCTTGATCTCCTATTTTAAAAGCCCAGTTTTGCTACTAGGTGTATGTGAGTGTGCACGTGCATACGCATGATTGTCTGCATCTCTGTATGGGCTTTGAATGGTTCTCTTTAGGACATTAGGACTCTGTCTTTCCCCCTACCATCCAAATTTGGCTTCTCTTTTCTTGTTGGTAATGGTGGTGGCACAGCCAAAGTACACAATAAATATCTTCCGCTTCTATGGGAGGGCAGATAATTCTGCTAGAAATAATTCTAGCAGGATAAACACTGTGTAACACCCCACCCCCCGGCCAATCAAGCCATTTCTTTCCCCCCATGGATCCTTTCCCTACAGCTTGCACAACTAATGGTAGAGAAGCAGACTAGAGAGGGTTGGTTGTATCTCCAAAGGTTCATGGAGAGTGGAGTCAAGCACTAGTGTGTGTGCCCTTATTTGGCACACCAGTGTATATCTCTAATTTACATTTGAATACATGACGGGTCTTGATTCTGGCAGGTAAGTCATATGGCACATTGGTGGCAAGTTTACCATTTTATACAGTACAACACTCAGTTTAGTGTGGCCTCACAGCAGGAACTTGATCCGGCTTACTTTTGCCAGGGTCCAAAGGAAGTGGTTACCATGAGCCTTGGTCATCATTTGAATGAATCATTAGAAATACAGTGTGGGAATAATTCAATATAAGTAACGTCAAACAGAAGCCCACAATTGTATTAAAGTAGTTCTGCAGTGGAGATCTCGAGTACTTTCCTGAGAATTTTCCTGTCAATATGTTCTGTGGTGTAGGAGGAAAGGGCCACAACCTACACTCTGCCAAAATGGGGGTGGAAAGTTGGATTTTTAAAAATGGAAAATGCTCTCCAGAGCAGTGCAGAAATAATTTTCTTGTTTCCCAGAAAATGTCCTAAAGAGAAATAGAAGATGACTAATCAACTTTAGTTTCTTTTTTTAAGCTGCTTTGTTTAGATCTAGCATGAAACACTTTTTCTTAAGGCCTATGGCAGGCATGGGAAGCAACATTGGTCTGGATTACCCCTTGAAACCAATCTGGAAGGCTGGATGGCATCTCTTCCGGGCCCCAGATATCATCTGGGTCCATTTTTCCATGCTCTGGACAAAGACGGACACAAAGTTCCACGTCTTTTTTTGCAAGTGCTTCACTTTCTTTGCACTGGCTGTTAGAGCAGTGGCTTCTAGACAGTTTTTCTTGCCACTTTTCAATTGAAATGGGAAGGACTGGGCAAAGGGATTAGATCAGCTCCACCTTCCATGATTGGGGAAAACAAGGTAAGATCAAAGCACCCCACGAGGCTGTCACTGAGTTCTGAGCCTCTGCCATGTCCTTATTTCCTACTGGGAGGAGCAAAGAGAAACAAAGCCAACTCAGTGGTGGAGCTTACTGTATTTCCTTTCACACCCATCTGGAGGATAGCTCAGTGGATTAGATATCTGGCTGTTGAGCCAGAGGTTGGGAGTTCAATTCCCCACTTGTGCCTCCCTGACAGGGGCTGGACTTGATGATCCATAGGGTCCCTTCCAGCTCTGCGGTTCTAAGATGATGATGATATCTCATTTCTGGATGGTGGGCACAGTGAAAGAGAAAGGGAGGAGTTGGCATGAAAAGGAAGTTTCATGCAAAAATTATCTCTCCTAGATATTTTTGTCTTGCTGAAACAAGCAAAATCTAACTCTCGTCATGGCAACAAAACCTTTTACACTGAGGTAAAATAAACATTGGCTGGAATCCCATGAGTTACACCTGCCAATGTAACACCAGCAGTTTAATTTTCAGTAGTGAATTGTCACAAGTTAAAGAGTCGGCATAGGCATTTGATAGGCACAGCAGTATGACAAGGACACACCTGCTCTGACTTAACTTGTGGCATTTCACGGCTGCAATTTATGCGACTGGTGTTAAGCCAGCAGAAATGTACGGAAGGATCCTGGTGATTATACACTGAAATAAAAGCATCAGTCAAAATGGGATTCCTGGTGGTGATATTTTATGCAAACAAACAAACAAAAACTCCCTTGGTTTTGAAATATGTATTATTACAGTAGGAGCACAGGATGGCAAATGTAAAGATGTTTATTTGTGAATTTTAAGTCTTTCATTTTTTTTCCTCCAAGGGAATTCCTGGGATCCCTGGAGCTCAAGGAATAAAAGGAGAAAAGGTATTCATAAATATGTCAGATCGAAAAATTAAACACTGACATTGTTCAATTAAGGCAAACACAAACACCCTTACCACAGTGTTTATTCAGATGAATGTTTGATCACTATATATACATTTCTCTCAGCGCTGGTTTGTGGCTTTGAAGCAGAAAGCAGTTTCCATGTATAACAGAGTCTTGCTGCTTTATTCAACAAAGTTGTCTCAACCATTCCGTATATTAATGAGAAATGAGGAAGTCCGAGTCACAAATGTCTCGTGCTTTTTGCTTTCTCTGTATCTTTTTAAAAGTAATGTGGGATATGACCCCTCTGGGTGCAAGGGCATGGCTCATTTTATTCATTGCTACTTTTGCAGCCCCAGGGAAAGAAGTGTATACCAGGCCCTGCCTCTTAGAATGGGATGAACCACAATATAATTTTGAGGTTCTTCTCTTCACTTAGATTGTTTTCAGTTGCTCGTTTGAAAAATTACTTGAATTAGTTTTGTTGCAAGTACTGAATTGATTTTAAAAGTTTTTTTTTAATTTTAGGGTGAAATTGGACCACCAGGACCAGAAGGAACAAAAGGAGCACCAGGGACACCTGTATGTTTATTCTTTTGTATTCTTCTCACTATTATGGTATAGTGTATAGAGTGACAGACCTGGACTCAGGAGACCTGGGTTCAAATCCCTGTTTGGCCATGGAAACTCTCCTGGGGAGGTGGAACTTATAAAACCGTTCCTTAAATATCTCACTTATCTTGAAAGCCTTATTAGGGTCACTGTGCCTTAGTTCTGCCATGACAGCACATAGGAGTAACAACAGCTGTTGAACAATCTTTTATATAAAGATTAGCTAACTACTGAATAGAGCTATGTATACTGATTCTAGTATTATGTCATAGAAGTATATGTGACACAGGTTGTGGGGCTAGTATGTTTCACTCACAACATGTAAAATCCACACATTTAGCTAACTATTACGTACGGCTGTACTGATTCTGGTGTAATGTTTTATGTATATATACTGTATGTTACATGAGATATATATCTTATGTCACCTGTATGTGAGACATAACGCTGGAATCATTAATCCTCTTCAGTGGTTAGCTAAGTATAGTCTTCTTCAGATAATCTCTTCTCCTTAGCACAATAATAAACCCACAACAATACACACTAATCACCCATCTACAGAAAAAGACAAAAGCCTATCTCACAGCCATAAATACTGCACTCTCAAGCCAACTACACCAGAGCACAGAGTGCTACCTTCTGAAGATGCCGGCCACAGAGACTGGCGAAACGTCAGGAAGAACAACCTTCAGAACATGGCCAAAGAGCCCGAAAAACCCAGAACAACCAATAGTCTTCTTCAGTTTTTACTTTTTCAAACTATTGCCTCTGTGTGTTGAAAATCACAGTGGAGTGGGATGGGGGCTAACATGTGCCTTTCATTGTGCACGGGCTTCACTCAGTCCAGCCACTCAGTTGGGTTTTAGTTAAGGAAGAAGGAAGGCAAGGTTCTCCAGAGAAACCTGCAAGTTTAAGCAAGTTTAGTTGTTGAACAGACTTTTAGAAATACCATGATATCACTGCAACCAATGAGATAATAAGGTTGAATCAAACACAGGGATGTGATAGCAAGCATTGAATTGGCATGCCATTATCCCAGAGAATCCAAATCCATTCAGTATGAGAGGTAAAAGGCAGAACTTGAGCTGCTATATATGTTTTAAAAACAGCAGCAACAGACACTAGAAATCTTGAGCCAATGGTGTAGACATGCTATTCAGAATTGTATTGCGTGTGTCCTGGGTGCAGTTTATAAACTGAGCTGAAATACTTCCCTTAAAAGGGGAAGCTATGCATTATGCTAAAGATCCCTTCAGAGAGTTAAGTGTGAATTCTCAACAAGACACATGTCACACTGCTCTTAGGGAATTTGAGGATTTTTTTTTTGTTTCCCTCAAATTAAATTATTTTACAACTCTGAGGCGCCTCTGTTCTGATCAGTTAATAACTTCCACCAAGGATTCTTTTTCCAGAATGGATGGTACTAATTTTCAACAGATGGTAGGCCCCACCAGTGTAATTCAGAATTGAGGGCAAGCGATGTTTCTTTCATTTTGTTTCATCTTCATGTGGGAATAGTTTTGGAAGATGCTTCCTCCTTCATTCAGCTTTAGACTGCTTTCCATCTCTTGGAATTGTTTATGCAAGAGTCACTTCAAGATTTTGCTGTGTATGTAGGATTGCTAGTGCAGCACAGAGGTGAGGAGACTCGGTTGTGAACTTAGAAGGATGCTCCTGCTATCACAAGGGAGAGTGGCCTCCTGCAGACAAGATACTGGCAGCCTCCATGCCATGTTGAGCAGGCAGAGACTGAGAACATGCTATCAGTTTGCCTATTCCTATTGCAAATTACTTTTTTCTTCCTGTGGTTACTGTTAACTGTGATGCAACATCTTATTTTTACTGCCACTGACTCCATACATAAGCCTGCAGGTGTGCCTTGGGACATGTGTGAGGTTTGGGGTCAGAATGCGGAAGTATGTTCCATAGGAGTTTTAGAAATATCAACACCTTCCTTTTACTGAGTCAGACCGTTGGCCCATCTAGTCTATCACTGTCAATTCTGATGGACAGCAATTCCTCAGGGTTTCAGGCAGGATCTTTGGATAAGTTGCACTTCATGATCCCTGGTTTTATCTAATGGTCCTCCATCCAAATAGTTGCCAGGACTGACCCTGCTTAGCTTCCAAAAGCAAACAAAATTGTACTCTTCGTTGAAGTTAGGATGGGATATAGTATTAGAAAGTACTTTAACAAATAAAAATGAGGGACAACATAAAGCCTGCAAGTTTATCCATCCCACCAGTGCTTTCCACGTAACATTGTGCTTGCTTTGTATAGCACTATATGTGGGGATTTTCGGGGGGGGGGGAAGCAATGTTCACTGTTCACAATGCATTGATATCCAGGGCATTGTTTATGGTCCTTGCATTTCTCAGAAGCACTATATCACTCTGTTCTACTTAATAACTGCCAGCTGTTACCTTGCTCTACCAGGCCCTGCCAAAATCCTGTTGTCTAACTTACACAGTCATAGGGGAAATGTGATAGCTGCAGAGGCAGATGGATTATCATGAGAATCCTTGCTGCAATTCCTTGTGTGGTTCCTTGTTGCACAAGTGGGACAGAGGGCTTATTTCTGTATTTAAAATACTTCTACCCCACCTTTCTCCTTAAAAAGGACCCAAGGCAGCATATATCAGCGAAAGACAATGTTTAAAGCTAAGAACAATGTATAAAGAACTGACATCATTAAAAGACAGTATTAAAGCTAAAACAATAAGTATGCAAATTCTAAAAAGGATCAGTAATGCATAACAGTGCATCTAAAAGACACTCATTTAGCCAATCACAGAGAGAATACCTGTCTGGAGAGAAAGGTCTTTGCCTGCTCGTGGAAGGGCAGCAAAGATGAGGGTAGTCTGGCCTCCTGTGGGAGTGAGTTCCACAGGCTGGGAGCAGCTACAGAGAAGGCTCTCTTCTGTGAAGGTGGTGGGATCAAGTTAAGGGCCTCCTTGTTGATCTTAACCCCTGGGCACGCTCATAAAGGAAAATGAAGTCTTTGAGATATGTAACTTGTACCCAAGCCATTTAAGACTGTATAGTAGTGGTCCCCAACCTTTTTCACACCAGGGACTGGTTTAGATGAAGACATTCTCCCAAGGATCAGGGGTGGCAGCGTGCGTCCATGCATGCAGGTGGGGGCATGCAGACATCTGTGTGGGTGGGTGGGGTGCACGTGTGTCTGCGTGCATGTGTGTGGGGCAGTGGGGGCATGTGGGTGTGCATCTGTGCATGCATGGAGGGAGGCGGGGGCATATGTGCATTTGCATGTGTGTGTGCAGGGGCGTGCGTGCATGTGAGGGGCAGGTGGGTGTCTGTACATGAGGGGGCAGGTGTGTGTGTGTGTATGTGTGCGGGTGGGCGCGAGTGCACATGTGCATATGCATGTACATGTGCGTTCCTTTGGCCCTCAAAGATCTGTCTCCACAGCCCAGTCCTTCCAAGGCCATGGACCAGGACCGGTCCATGGACTGGGGGTTGGGGACCCCTGCTTTATAGGATGAAAACAGCACTTTGTGTCCAGAAATGGATTGGCAGCTAGTGGAGCTGCTGTAACAAGGGGATTATGTGATCCCTGTAACCAGCCCCAGTTTAGCACACAACCCAGAGTCTAAGTGGAGACTCTAATTAGTGGTAATTTGCTTCTGTGACAATTTCATTTCCCCTATAACAGTGTTAAGTTGTGCAGCAGGATTTTGGCCTCCTGTTTTCCTAATGTCTTAAGAAAGGATAAGCATTTTACATCTAATAATTTTGTGAAATTAACTTTCTGCTGGTCTTCATTGATTACACTTTTTCTGTTTCCTCTGGTAAGATTAATCACTTGGAATATTTGGATGTTTTGAGTGACACAAAAATAAATTAATCAAAATGTGAAGAAGGATTGTCCTGCTATTAGTCACACAGTTTGTTCCAGAAAAGAACAGATGAAATCCTGCTGACAGTTTATCTGTAATACATTTAAGAAAATTCTATAATAAATAACTGTGAAGTAACAATTATCCTCAGTATGGTTGCCAGTTTCACTCATTGATTGATGTATCTGGCACAAATACTGCCAACTTCGGAGAAGGAAGCACTTGTGGCTTGAGTTGCTAAATTGTTTTATTTTTATTTGAGCAGTATTATCCACTTTACTAAATTGTTGATTCATCATTCGTTGGTTTCATATGTGAAGCTTCCACAAACTGTAAAAGAAAAGAACACTTGTAAAGAACTGGAGTCATGATAAGTAACATTCTTTGGCAGAGCTTGGAAAAGTGGCTTTATTGGAGTTATAAGCCAACATCAGACTGGAAAATGCTGGCTTATGGCTTGTCTACACTGCCATTTTGGAACAGGCTGCATTGGGACAAATAAGGTTGTTTGAAGATTTCATATGCCATTAGGTTCAATAATCGCATCCAAATAGCATATGGACCTTAAGCACCCCTATTTAGCCTGTTGTCAGTTTTGTTAAGCCAACATTGTGAAGTGGCTTAAAAAGAGCCACTTCAGGATACTGGCATATTAAACACTTCCTTGGTTCTATGGAAAATTTGATTTTTTTTAAAAAAGGGGATTACGGTGGCATATATGTGCTGTTTCCCTTAAAAAATAAAAGCCAAATGGAAACATCTTCCCAAAAGTGGGAGGAGACAGAAGGGGGGGGGAGAAAAAAGATTTTTGATTGCTTTTCTTGACTGGAAGAGAAAAGTAAACAAAAATCCCCCTTTTTGCCCCCTCCTGCCTCCTCTACTTTCTGGAAGAAAGTTTTCCATTTGGCTTCTATTTTTAAAAATGTGATGCTGCCTTAATCCACTTCTAGGAAAAATATTCACTTCCTCAGCCTCTCCACAGAGCCAAGGAAGTGTATAATTTGTCAATATCCTGAAGTGGCTTTCTTCTGAAGCCGCTTCACAACATTGGCAATTGACAAGAAGGCTCATTTTTGTTCATTTCCAGTGACTGAATGAACTAAAACAGAGGGATCCTACCTGCACCAAAATAAAGTAGAAACCAAAAAGTGCAGGTGGCATTGCTCTGGGGAAGAAGCTAGATCATTCCAGCAAGGATCTTGTCTGATCACTGTCTTAGGAGTGAACCAATCAATCTTGCAGTAAACCAAACAGAGGGCTAAACACCCATCTAGTCAGCCTCTTTTTGTGTTTTAAATATGACATTGTATACTTTCTCTCTTTTTGCAAAGTAGACTTTTGTGCTTTCTGTGACTGAAACCCAGTAGTAAGTCGCAACTAGAGTAGGCCCATTGAATCAGCAGAATTTTCAGAAGCGATGACTCACCAGGTCCCCACTTATACTCTAGTTGCACCTTACTACTGGATTTCACCCTATGTATGCTTGAAGCAGTGGCACATTTCCTGCCATATTTTCTACTTTACTGTTTTACTCTATTGTTAATTTTTTTCTCATTTGAAACGGTACAACCCTTCCAAATCAATATCGAAGCTTGTATTTATTTTCTTTATTGTTTACCTAAAATAGTTATATCTCACTTTTCCACATTAAAAAAAGGGAAGCTCAGTACAGAACCAGAAGAAAAATTAAGACAAATCAGGAAGGAAACCGTTCTGTGGAAGACATGGTAATAAGAATGTGGGTTTTTTTAAAAATTAATTATTACAGTTTAGGGACATGTAGTAAACTGTTCAGTTCAAGTAAGGTGGCAATGTATGTCTTAGCTATGATGGTGCACCCAATGCTCATCCTTTCCTTCAGTTTTAAGATCAAGACCACATAGTTTAGTGTCCCTTATTTTTCACTTGCTTATGTTGATCTCTCTTTTATAGGGATTGCCTGGACCTGAAGGACCGTCAGGTTTACCTGGAGCACTTGGGCCTAAGGTATAGCCTATGTCCTGTATAAAAGCCTCCAGAGATGTTGAATGCTTTGTCATTTTAATTTTTTTTATGAAATCTGATTTTAAAACGATGAGAATTAAAATGGTTAAAAACAAGTGTGCATCTGACCTCCATCTTTGGGGGCATGGGCAGTTCTAGAAAATATGAGGACACACAGACAAATTCATGTGAAATCTTTTGAGATGTTGACATCTTGAGATCATTTATCATAGCTAAAAGCTGAAACACTATCCTTGCTCATACATGCAGAGAACTACCTGGATCTGTGCCTCTGAGCTCACATGTTGTGCTGATCCTGCATGTTCAGGGTCTACAGGTTTAGGCCTCCATTGCTCACATGTCCAGACTTAATGCACAAATATCACAGGCAACACTGGGCAGTCTCACATCCTTGAAGACAGAACCTGTTCTCTCTTGCACTGCATGGGCGTCCCTTCAGGTACAATAATTAACATGTGAATGGAAGTGAAGGTGCAAACCACTTTGTGGCTATTCTTGCTTCTTTCTCTGTCACTGACACACACACACACACGTTCACACAATTTTCACCTAGTCCTCAACATTCTGCCATGCTTGTTGTGTTTGAAGAATATTAAAAGAACGAGTAAGTCCACAACTGTATTAAATACGACTTATAGGGCTGCTTGGCTTTATGTTTTGAGGAAAGAGAGATTCTCAAAACTGGGAATTTTTATAATGTCAAATGTCTGCCAATGTCCTGCCATAGTTTTGACCGATACTTCGTCATATATTCATAGGGCAACAAAGGTGAACAAGGTCCACAAGGGAAACTAGGAGCTGCAGGCGTTAAGGTAAATGTGGCTAATTTCCAGTTTATAATAACATTAGATATGGAACGCTCTTCTTTCGTTCACATGAAGATAAATACAGTTATATCCAGTTTATCAGTTATAATTTGTCTTTTACTGAAACTAAGTTAGTGGCCTGTGGCAAATCACAGAATAAACCTGTCTGGGTTCTTTGATCAGTACCATTTTATACTATTTGAGAAGCCAAGACTTAAGTGCCATAGTCGTCTATAGACTGCCAACTCTGTGGTATAAAATTCCATGAGTGCATGAGATTCTGGGTTAATGAACCAGCATAGACATAAGGTTTCCTCTTCTTTTCACATATAAATTCTCTCTGCTGTCCTTAACCATGTGCCATTGTTATATCTACACCAAACTGAATCCTGATGAATGCCCAGGAGAGCCCTCTTTGACGGCAGTGTTAAAGGGCAATGCATGTTAAACTGCAGCTGCTCTTTAAGTGGTGAAAAGGCACACTCACCTTCTTGTAGTAATTCCTACCCCATAGCACTTCCAGCATTCATGGAAGTCTCCACATATAGAGGTGCATTTGTAGATGCCTGCCTGCCTCAGAGATTTATACTGGCAGGTGAACAGCAGAGGTGCGACTGGGAGGCACCGCACGACATCAAGGAGTGGCCAAAAGCACACACTGGCAGCCATGATAATCCTGGTTTGTTCCTTCCCCCAGTGATGCATGTGGAGGTTTTTCTCCTTGACCCTATAGCTTTTGACCCTCTCCAAATCAGCATGTAACTCTCATATTAAGCATTTTGATTGGATACTAGAGCCATGGCGTCCACACATGTATACCGTGTGAGTTTAATTGCATGTAACTCCATGCTGGATGGTGTTAACATGTAAAGATGAGGGCTTTTTGTAAAACAGTTCATTGGTTCTCATATAAATATTTTCACTGGCCTGAAAAAGTTTCTAGAAGAAGGAACATGTTGGTAATGTACAAGTAAGTTCTGCCGTTCATTGGGACTAGTGGAAAGAACTACGCTTTAAGGTCGGCCAAAGTAGTATCTCCTTTAATTGCATATTATATAATCTCTGATTTATGGTGCCGTTGTATTTTCCAGGGAGAACAAGGGATGCCAGGTACGCCAGGTGAACCAGGCTATCCCGGTATGCCTGGCACACTGGGTTTAAAGGTATGTCTGTTACCAGTTAAAGGACTCTGATATATTTATTAATTATTTTGTTACATGGTAGTTTACCCTGATAAGGGTAAAAAGTGAAGTTCTGTTCCTTTATAGCAAGGAGGTAGTTATGAATTATTGTTATTGATAAGGTAATGATTGTACTGAAAAATAACGTACGATAGTGATCTGTAATCATCAGTCCTAAATGCTTCCCTTGCAGGTTGGGTCATAGATTCCAAGCATGTTTGTAGATTCCGTGCTTCTGCTGCTAAATTGCATGAAGAAGAAATACTTGTTGTTGCTGTTGTTATGTGGTGTTAAAGTTGCTTGTGTCTTACAGCAGCCATAGGGATTAGCCTCCTCCAAAAGGCCTTGTCACTAACAGCACTGCTCAGAACTTGCAAACTCAAGACTGTGGCGTCCTTCATTTAGTCAATACATTTCATTTTTTGTCTGGCTCTTTTCTTGCTTTTCCAGCATTATTGTTTTTTCCAGTGCATCTTGTCTTCTCGTGATGTACCCAAAGTTTAATCAGCCTAAGGTTAATCATTTTTTTGCTGCTAGAAGGAGCATAGACTTGATTTCATCTGGTATCAACTTAAATGTCCAAGAGAAATAGACATGGCTATAATTATTCTTCTTACTGTACAACAATATGTTTTCTTAATTTCCAAGTCACACGTTTCAGAAGAAGATGCAGTGAAAATAAGTTCCATGAATACGGTGGAGAAAATAGCATTCCAAAGATGGGATTGCTCGTGTCTGAGCAATCAAACGTAAGAGTGTGGCTACACTGGAGAGCTTAATCTGAATGATTCAGCTTTGCTGTGATTTGATTCGCAAGCTGTATTACGTCTGAAATTGCAAACAGTGCTGCCACAGATTGATTTGGGAGGTCACCCTTCATGCTCATTGCAATGCAAGTTGCATTCCAAGAATTGCAAACAGTGCTGCCACAGATTGATTCGGGAGGTCACCCTTTCCAACCCAAAGCCCCTTCCCCTGTTCCTTCCTTCCTTCCTGATCCCACCTCTGCTAATCTTTTAATGGCCCAGAGGAGGCCCATACCCCAGAGCAAGAGTGAAAGGATGGGAAGGAGGTGCAACCGAGAGCCCACAGTGCAGTGAGGCTTTGCCCGAGGATTGGGGTGAAGCGGCTGGAATCCACCTGAACTGTCCCAGAAACCCTCCAGATTGGATAGGATTCTTATCTGTGCAGCCAGGAAAGAGCCACAGGAGGGGTTGGTAAATGTTTTGGATGGATGCCAGGGTGCTGGAGGGTGGGAGGCTGAGATGGTTCAGGGCCCAGAGAGAGGGGGTATAGAGGGGGTATGTGCCAATGCAAGTGTAGCAGGATGTTGCCAGACAAGCCAGGTAAACCTTCCCTGGCTCTCTGCCAAGTATCCTCTTTGGGGATCCTCCCCACTTCAAGCTTCAGAAATAGAAAAATGACATGGAAAAGGTACTTTATAGTCCCAGAATACAGGACATCAAAAGTTTCAACGGTAATTTTGCAAAATACGTAATGATTCACAGCTCAGAATGATTCCACTCAGGATCACCTCCTTCCCATCACCCATCGGTTCCTCCATTCCCTTATGTTCAAGTAATAGATGCAGGAATTACTGATCTCTGATCGCTTTTAAGCTAATGTAAACAAGTTTATGTCACTAGAGATTAGTAATTCCTGCACGTGTCACTTGAGAGTTAGGGGCTGAAGTAACAAATGGATGTTGGTAATGGGGTGATCCTGTATCATGATATATTTTGCAAAATTACTATTTGAACATTTGATGTTCTGTATTCTGAAACTATGAAGTGCCTTTTGCACATTATTTTTCTATAGAAATGTAGTAATCTGAGAGCTTTAAATGAAGCACTCATGGTGCTTTGCTTTTGCATGTCTCTCCTGCACATTCCACCTGGGCGGGAAGCTGTTTTTTTTTAAAAAAGTGACTTGGGACAAGAGACATGAATGCTGGTGCTGCTTGTGTGTGTGTGTGTGTGTGTGCGTGTGCGTGTGCGCGCACACACACACACACACTCCAGCTCATCCTCCCTCAAGAGGCTACAGACATGTCCATGTATTTACAAGAGCATCTGCAGGGGGAAAAACACGATTGAATCCTCCTGGGATGAAAAATTTGAAGCCCTTTAAGGTAAAGGTTCTCCATGACATTTAGTCCAGCCGTGTCCGACTCTAGGGCACAGTGCTCATCCCTGTTTCCAAGCCATGAGAGTCAGTTAAAGACCTGGCTCTTTAGGCAGGCCTTCCCTCCAGCCAACACTTGATTTTTTTCTCTTTAATTTTCCTTTTTCCCCAATCTGACAACTGCTAGTCTTCTGACCTTGCAGCACAGAGGCTCTAAGTTGGGCATGTGTGCACACATGTGTCTCTGTGTCCCTGCATGGAGCTGTTTTCCTCCTCCATGCAGTACACCCTTACTGGTTCCACAGGAATTAAGAGGCTAAGTAGCAGTCAGGTGCTGCTAACCCAGTGCCCTTGAGTAACTGATTATCAGCAAGTGTGACCACCTCTATAAAAGCTGACATTTTAGCAGTTTGCTGGTCTGGTGCATTCGGGTGTGTGTTAACACAATGGCAAGGAGGAAACCCATCAGTAATGATTGTAGAGAAGCAATTGTTGCTGCCCATCAATCTGGGAAGGATTATAAGTCCATTTCCAAACAATTTGAAGTCCATCATTCTACAGTGAGGAAGATTATTCAAAAGTGGAAAACATTTAAGACAGTTGCCAATCTTCCCAGGAGTGGACGTCCAAGCAAATTCACCCCAAGGTCAGACCGTGCAATGCTCAGAGAAATTGCCAAAAACCCAAGAGTTACATCTCAAACTCTGCAGGCCTCAGTTAGCATTTTAAATGTGAAAGTTCATGACAGTACTATTAGAAAAGAAAAAAAAACCTGAACAAGTATGGTTTGTTCGGAAGGGTTGCCAAGACAAAGCCTCTTTTCTCTAAAAAGAACATGGCAGCACAGCTTAGGCTTGCAAAGTTTTATTTGGACAAACCACAAGACTTCTGGTACAATGTCCTTTGGACAGATGAGACCAAAGTGGAGATGTTTGGCCACAACGCACAGCACCACATTTGGAGAAAACCAAACACAGCGTATCAGCACAAACATCTCATACTAACTATCAAGCACGGTGGTGGAGGGGTGATGATTTGGGCTTGTTTTGCCACCATAGTACCCTGCAGTCATTGAGTCAACCACGAACTCCTATGTATACCAAAGTACAGTGGTGCCTCACTTAGCGATCGCTCCGTTGAGCGATGAAATTGCTTTGCAATGGACTTTTGGCCATCGCTGGAGCGATCGCTTAATGATGTCCCCTATGGCTAAAATTCGCTTTGCGATGATCGCGGGGAAGCAATCATGGCAAAGTGAACTTTTTTAAACAGTTGATTGGCGCTTCCAAAATGGCCGCCGCAAAAAAAAAATGGACGCTGCTGTTTTGCCTCACTTTAGAGGCACCCAGAATGGCCGCTGCTATGGAGGAATTTCGGTTTAAGGTAAGTTTTTAGCCCATAGGAACATATTAAGCGCGTTTTAATACGTTCCTATGGGCTTTTTAATATCGCTTAGCGATTAAATCACTTAGTGATGTTTTTTCTG